TAGGCATAGTTATATATCTTTATATGGGTTTGGTGATCGGAATTGTAGCTTTGACAGATTTCGATCAATGTCGGAGAAACTGAGATAAGGCGTAAATATTTCAGTATCCAACATTGGACAGGTTCAAAATTGTCTACAATTTTCTAGGTATTGGATCGGGTCCAAATAAAAATCAGTCCATTTTGTTAAAACCATAAATTTTTCCGCATTTTATCCAGGGCTGTAAAACTTTCCAAAAATGTTTATTTCTGGTAGTTCATTCACATGACAGTGACAAAGTTTTCACATATTTCATATTCAGAAAAAATTAAATAGACAGACAGCCATTGGTGGAAAAATTACATACATTTCTTCGTATTTTCATTTCACCATAACTTTTTTCCTATTTTGTCCAGAGTTCTAAAATGCAATTGTGTTTTTCCAAAATAAAATAGATATGAATATTTTGTCACTGTAACATCAAAGAACTATCAGAAATAAACGTTTTTGGAACGGTTCCAAAAACGTTTATTTCTGATAGTTCTTTGATGTTACAGTGACAAAATATTCATATCTATTTTATTTTGGAAAAACACAATTGCAGCCTTTATGGTAAAGGTGTATAACACGCTACCCAACATACTCCCGATGTAATGCATTAAAGACCTTAGGCTGAGTCTCCAGCCGTCGGGATTTCGTGCGCCCGCGATACTCTCTCCCCTAACGGCTGGGCGCATGGGGTTCGCTATTGTCAGTCTCGACCAATCAGCGAGTGGCCCCCGATATTTTCAGGGGCATATCATTAATAAATTAGCAGGCAGCCGTCGTCGCAGTGTAACAAAATATCGGACAATTCGTCGTTTGAGATTCTCGTTTGAACGCTCTGAAGTCGTTTAGCTTGGACGTATTTAGAGAAATACAGCAAAAGGCTCTTAAAGAGATTGTTCTTGGAAGATGAAATCCTTGTTATTCTTTCTACTGGCTCGGGCAAATCTCTTATTTTTCAAACAGCGCCACTAGTGTATTTTGCTCGTCTTTCTGGCGATAATATATCCATTTGGATTATTCTGAACCCTACACATGTTTTACTTGGGGTAATTTCCATTCCTGTCTCTTTTTTAAAGCGCTAACTATTACATTATATCGCCACTTCGCGAAGTTTTCATTTCACATAATTTCCCGCCTTGTAGCAAAACCTTTTAATACGGCTGTTGTCAGATATTTCACTTCCGTTCACTGAAAAATTCACTTCCGTTATTCATAATATGCTAATTACACAAAAA